GTCAGGTAAGAGCCCGGGTGGGCAGGTGGGCAAAAACATCAGCAGACATAGAACCAGTTCTATGCCTGCTGGTCTTCAGAGCTACCAGTTCTACAGAGGTGGACAGAACCGGTAGAAACCCAACCCTGGATGAAACTATTTATATGCTTCTTTTTTCCTTCTTAACAGAAGTGCCATTGTAGAAAAATTGGATGGTTAGAACAAAGAATATACATCTGCGTGGAAGGTTAGAATTTCTTTCAGAGCTTCTACAACCATCACCTACAATCTTGATCAACGAAGGACAGGGGTCAACAGAGATCAACAAAAGATTTTATACGAGGTTTCAAAAAGAAACTTACAATATTAATCATACATATAACTCTAAAGTCATATTTTTGTTCAGCCTGAAAACTAGACTCATATAATTCTTTTTATTAATGCAAAGTAGAAACAGATGTTTACAGAGATTTTCCCAAGACCACTGAATTACATACTAGTTAAAATCTCTCTGAATCCATTCTGATCCACCCAGATACATTAGGTTTGTACTAAAGAATAATGAAGATGAGCAAATATAATAAGGACGGCACTTAAAAAAATAGATTATATTATTTAATTGCATTAAAAAAATTCTATACTATTCTTCATCCAACTGGATCTTATAGCAGATGTACAAGGCATATAAATTTATGTTTATTTCAAAGTATAAAAATTGTGTGTGTGTGTGTGTGTGTGTGTGTGCGCGCGCGCGTGCGTGTGTGTGTATGTATAAATTAAAAAGACCAAACCCAACTCATACTTTACATGTAAGAATAAAAATGATTGAGCAAAACTGATCCAGGAATATTATAATGTTAGTGCCAATTACAATTCAATTATTTAGGAATTCAATTATTAATAATCATGTCCCTCAAGAAGGATAAGAGGATGAGGGCAGAGCTCAGTAAGCATTCAGGTTTTTTCTGTCTTCATGAAAAGTGAAAGCTGATGTTGTGATCAAATGATAGGATGAAATAAATGGTTGGTCAATAGATCACATTTTGTGCAGATCACATCTACTGTCAGTGCTACCTCTTCTTTTCTAGCATCCTTTATACCTCAAATGAAGGAAGGGGGATAATCTATCATTGTCTGTAATGCTTGTAGAGGACAAAAGGAATTGAAGAATGCTGATTGCTCTTTTGATGCCACCAGAACAATCACTGTCAATGGTGTAATTCCTGTTTCTTAATATATTAGAAACATCATTGCAAATATGAGAAAGAAGCACTCAAGTGGCTAAAGAAAGGGTGGGACTGCAATATTGCTGTTAAAATTTACTTAGTTGAAGTCTAGTTGTTGCTGAAGCTCCTATTGGACAGCTCCCTTCATGAACTTGAATAATCTGATCTTTGGCCTATTAGTTCGATAAACGCAGAGGCTAAATCTTTTGGCCAGGACAAGACTGCATATTATTGCTGTATATTTAAAATGTATATTTAACCTCCTGTATAAAAATTCAGAGATATCATAAGCAACCTCTCACTGTGATTCCCAAAAAGCTCCCTGTGAATTTAAAAATTAGATGCTCATTAGGCAAATTGAGAGTTTTTCCAAGAGTTGGCTACTACTTCTAATCTATAAGGCCTTGCTAAAATTGCAGCTTTCATTTGGGAAAAAAGCTCTTGTGAGTACTTGCTGTGCCTGTATCACTCACTACAAGCAAAAATAGAAAGTCATCAATTTGTTTCCAAATGGAAAACATACTATTTTTAAATGTTCAGAATTGCAGAGAGGCTCTGCAGAAACCATGAATTTGCAGGTTGCACAAAGATAGATTTTCAGTGGGAAAAAATTGGAAATGTCTTCTATTGAACAACTTACTAAGTGTGAAGTTAATAGTAAAGAAACAATATTCTGCTCATCTAGGTATTTGTGATATTAAGGGGGTTAAAATGCTAAAATAACAACAACCAGATTAGTTAAATCAATTCCTCTTGATTCATTTGTTTAAAAGAAAATCTCCAACTTCTGTTCAGAGTACAACAGAGCCATGTTTTTAGTCATCCTTTTTATGTGTCAGATACCTTTAAAATCTTTGTTTTAAAGTTATCTGACATTTAGGGATATGACTGGAAATCAAAAGAAGCCCCTTTTCTCTTTTTGTAATTCTAAATATCACTGCTCTTCCACTGAGGTTGAAGAAGTTTGCTATATGCGCCCATTTTATTTGTCTTAATGATACTGTATTATGATGGAATGTCATTCCAGAAGGGTTTTGGATATAGAAGCCACGAGCATAAAGTGCCTTTCAGTCTGGCCACAATTGCACTGAGTCTGGTTAGTTTTCAGCATCAGTTAACTACATAACTGACTCGATGCTCATGTGTCATTTACTGTGTTCCATAATTCTGATTTCTGGTTTAACCTTTGCAATTTGGTACAAAGTTAGTTTTTTTAAATTGAAGTGAGTGTCCTGGTTAAAATTATTTCATATTCTGCTTTAAGAATATTACTATATGATACTATATATTGCTTTGGGATTACTTTCATGAAAAATTGACTATAAATATACGTGTGCATTTTTACACTGACAGAGGGACACACACACTCACAAAACAAACTATAGGAAAGGAGAAGGGGGAGATGAGAAAGCACTGTTCAAAGAAGCATACTAGAATAATACTATATCCCTGGAGGCTGCTCATTTCAACTATAGAAACACTTACGAAGGAGGAACAATAGAACTTAAAAATAGAAGGAAAGGAGGAAAGGCAGCTACTCTTTGTCTCCTGGAAAATTCTATATCCCAGTTTTAAATCTTTCTTTCCCTCTTCTCTAAAATGGCTAGGGAAGGAGTTTGCATGAGTTGGGATAGGCTTCCTGTTTGGGTCTTCTCATTCTTCCTTACAGGAAGAATGTAAGGCCAAAAGTCCACTTAATCCAGCACTTTGTTTCTCTCAGTGGATTGCCAGAAGAACTCTGGGAAAGCTCACAAACAAGACAGGAATACAAGAAGTGTAAGAGTGTGTAAGTTTACTCCAAGACATTTCAATGTTCAATGTCAAGCCAAAGCACAAATGGTGTTTTCCACTCTCAAGTGAAGTTAAGTCTGAGTGTGTTATTTTAGCACACGGGGCAGAAAAATCCCACAAGTACCTTTTTAATCTCTGGCAATAAAGATAAAATAATAACAATAATAATTTAGTTTACAAATTGCTTCTTTTTTGTCATCAATACTGGCTGCTTAAAGGGACTACTGCTTCATTTGCCTCATAACAGAATGGATCTGAAGATAGGCCAACAAGTCTACATACTGATTAATACTTGTGAGTAAAAGTACCACCATAATCAAAACATTGTTGTTGCACTTTAAAAAGCCAAGCAAATATATCTTACTCCCCCCCCACCCCCCCAGAGATGCCTCTGTGAATGTAAATAATACCCATCTAGAAAACAGCCTGTTTACAAAATACACAGGCATTCCTTCTCAGTGACTGGGTAAAGGGCAAAAAAAAAAAAAATGCTTACATCAACATTTGAAATCAAAACACTCTTAGCTATTTAATAAATATATCCCAGCAGTTCAAAACTCTTCTGGAGATTATTAAGAAAGAATACAATCCAATGTACTTTTAAAATCTAGACTGTTTTTGATTATGCAGAAGCAGATTTAAAAAAAAAAGTTTGTTTGCAAGAAAGTAGGCATATGATGGAATATAAACTCCATTAGCCACTGACCATTAGGCAATATATACACACACACACACACGTGTGTGTGTGTGTGTGTGTGTGTGTGTGTACAGTCCCCAGATATGATTAAATACTGTATATAGCATGATGTTTTTGCCTTGGTTGATGGAGAAGATTTGTTTTTACCCAGTGTCCTTAACGCTTACCCCATCAATATTCTGGTTCTAGTTTGCTTCTACAGTCTCGTGATCACAAATATCATGCAAATACAGTTGAAACCAGTCTATGCACCAAGTGATGATCAATAAACCAATGCATTCAGTTTCTCTGAAAAATCTTACAGACTATTAATAGCATTCTACCACATGGTTTGGGTAGGAGTGTGTGTTTTGTGTCTGTGTGTATATTCATGAAAATAGCTCTCTGAGCTTTCTAAATAAAAAGAAAGAGAATAAAATAATCATTATGGGACATGGTACAAGTATTGCCTGACAATATACTGTATGCTCAATATTGTGATAAATATTGTCAGCCCAAACTTGTGCTATGTCCCACCATAATTATTTTTTTCCTCTCTCTTTTTTTTAAAGAAAGTTCAGAACTATTTGCATGAAACTTCCAAGGTTGTCCTTTGGGCATTGGTCAAGGGTACAATCTCCTGGCTGCAGAAAAACAGAGAAAGAAACACAGTATCAGATTTATTCCATCACTAGCTGAATATATTAAAAAAAAAAACACCTAACCTGTGGCATGTTGCTATAGCAGAATCACAGAGAAGAGACTCTAACTTCTTGTTCAATACAGGAATCCAAATTAAAGCATCCTTAACAATTGGCTGTTTAATTTCTGCTGGAATATATCCAGTGAAGAAGCCCTAGCACTTCTCTTAAGTAATAGGTTCTCTATCAAAATGCTCTTTCTGCTGGGAGTTGTTTTTTTTTTAAAAAATCTGTCAGTCATCTGATAATTTTGTCCCAAAGGTTCTTTCTTTCTTTCTTTCTTTCTTTCTTTCTTTCTTTCTTTCTTTCTTTCTTTCTTTCTTTCTTTCTTTCTTTCTTTCTTTCTTTCTTTCTTAAGGCAACTGGACTTTCTTTTGCTTGAAGACATTTTGATTCTCATCCAAGAAGCTTCTCCAGAAGAAGTCCAGTTGCCTTTTGAAAGAAAGCATCTTTGGGACAACCATGACCTGGATGTCTGAAAATCTGGGAACTTTCTTCTTAGAATGTATGCATGCCCACATATATAAGGGAGTCCTTGATTGGCTTAGTTTCCTGTGCCCCAGACACACACAAAAATATGTTCAGATCAAGAGCTCTTGTGAATACAATAAAATCTAGCAGTCTTACCTTCACCTGAAGAGCCTGAAAGATCTATGATGACGTACACTCTTCCTTCTGGCTCCAAATCAATCTGCAAGAAAAGGAAGCAAATATTTATTATTAGAATTCCACTGTGTTCTTTTCATAGGGTGTGTTGTTTTCCTGAGAATTCAAACAGGATTTTTAATCCACTCTAGGCAGGCATTGGCTTAAAGAAATTGGAGAGAAAAAAAGAATAGGTGCCATTGAAACATTATAAACCATCCTTAGATTAAGTAAAAAGATTTACTGTAAATATTTAGCTACATTTCTGGATTTGGATCTCATACGACCATTTACTTATTTAGAAAATAAGTAAGGATAATACTTCAATTACTTCAATGTATTGCTTTACCTGTTCCAGAACTTTAGAGGATACAATGCAAATTTAAATAACACAGACTATAATATGTTAAAATAATGAAAACTATAGATGCCAAAATCTTCATAATTTTGTCTGTTTCAGAGTGGTTCTCAGAGATCTGCTCAATCTTTTATACACACACACACACACACACACACACACACACACAAATATAAATATGTATATATATATATACAAATGCAGAATGGGGCCAACTTTTTCTATTGGAACTGTTTAAAAAAGAGATTATAAGACTCATGCAGACATTTTCACATTTCTACAAATAAGATATGTTTGGAGCTCATCCCTGATGGACTCTGCAAACATCTGTTTGCTTCTACAAGTGCTAACTTTTTCCTTCTAGGTTTATGGACAGATAATTTCCACCAAATATTACACAAGAGGGATGTAAGTATGCATTAGTATACTGCTTTATGCCAATACTTGATAGATGTCAGAATGAAAAAGGCACACTGTAAAAGTTTCTTGGGAACAACATAGACAAGGAGCAACTAAGGAAAACATATCTTTAAATGCCTTGTGTTGGCACACAGTTGGTAGTCTCAAAACATTTTTTCCCCGCTGACCTTGGAGATGTTGACAGGACATGGGAAACATTTGATTTATTATGTACAATATGTTATGGTTATTTTTCAGGTGTTTAACACAAGACGTGTGCGTGTTTGCCATCAATATATAGTTCTTGCAAGGTGCAGCCAATGTCTCAAAAATATTTCTTTCTTACTATTATTACTATTATTTTATATCAGGAGTAGACATTTTTAAAGCTAGTGTGATCTACTAACTCTAAGGTTCCCCAACCAGAACCAAATGGAAAACAAAGCCTTAGAAGCTAAAATGAAAGAATGAATAGAGTATCACATTCATAGATCAACATAGGCTCATTCCAAACAGAAATAAAAATACTCAAATGCAAACAAGTTTAAAAAATCAGTAAAAAAATAGAAATACAGGTAATCCCTGACTTACAATCACAACTGAGTTCAAAATCTTTGTCGCTAAGTGAGAAATTTGTTAAGTGAGTTTTGCCCCATTTTATTATTTTTCTTGCCATATTTGTTAAGTGAATCACTGCAATTGTTAAGTTAGTAACATGGTTGTTAAATGAATCTGGCTTCCTCATTGACTTTTCTTGTCAGAAGGTTGCAAAAGGGGATCAATTGACCCCAGGACACTGCAACTGTCAAAAATATGCACCAGTTGTCAAGGATCTGAATGTAAACTACATGCTACATGAATGTAAACTACATGCCTATATGGATGCTGCAATGGTCATAAGTGTGAAAAATGGTCTTAAGTCGCTTTTTTCAATGCTGTTGTAACTTTGACTGGTCACTAAATGAACTGTTATAAATTGAGGACTACCTGTAAACATAACACATAAATAATAATTTTATGAACAGTTCTGTTTTTCCTTTGCTACCTGAGCAAAGTTCTTAGCCAAAATTTAGCCATGAAATTGCTTAGCTTCTGTTTCTATCAGTTCTTTCTAAACTGCTACTGAACATTTGCTTTGCATAATCTTTCAGCCAGGAAAAAAAAAAGGTGTTTTTTACCAGCTGCTAGCTAGCTAGAGGCTTTTGTCACCTCTGTTGGAGTGGAGACACTGCTTCTCCTTTAGTTTTTAGAGTGAAATAAAGAGGAAAACAAACTATTCTGAAACCTGCCTCTATTCAGTCAGGATGTTCTCAAGTTATAATCCAGTTCAAATCCACAGTCCACCTGCGTATATAGCAACATAAAATGGTGGTGTAGAGAGCATAGAGAATGGCTTTGGAGGACAACGGAAAGAACTGTTATCAAGGCGATGATCAGTGAGTACGCCTTAAATCAATTTCAAAAAAACAATTTGAGAAAACACATTAGACAAATCCCTCACTAATTCACATGAAGATAAAGTGAAGGAGGAAGGAATTTAGAATTCCTGCAAGATTCTGTCTCTATACCTGTTCTAATGAAATTTATTTTTAGACTGATAAGGCATTGGTTTCTTAGTCTGATCCAACCTATGGGTTAATAAATGAAGACAGGAATTAGAAGCAGAGGGTGAAGGATGCCAAGCACAGACCAAAGAGTTGTAAATTACCAGAACAGAACTAAATATTTGGCTCAAGAGGCATATATCAATTATTTCTTGTCTCTCTCAGGGCCTGCCTTTTCTTACTATATTGTAATTGTTTATATGTCTTTTAAGACAGCGGCCCCCAACCTTTTGAGCACCAGGGACCGGTGAGAGACTTTTATGCAGACCAGAGGGGCATGGTTTCATGTGCTGCCTGCATCCTGTAGATGGGGATTCACTTGTTTGCACAGACTGGTTTCTGGCATGCCATGGACTGGTGTCAGTCCATGGACTGGGGATTGGGGATCCTGTTTTAAGGGATAGCATGTCTTGTACTGAATGAGATGGGAACTATTTTTACATTCTCTAAAGTGATATTCATTTGTTTCTTGAATACATGACATCCATTGTTAAGTCATGGACCAATTGTTAACAGTTATATAAGCAAAGCTAATAGAATTGGCCAAAGGAGCTGTAACAGAATGAAAAGAGATAATATTTTTTTCTTCTAGAATATCTAATTTTATTTTTTTTATTTATTTATTTGATTTGCCAATTGTTTACAAGATAATAAGTATAAATGTATACATAGTTGTGAATACATGAAATGGGTACATATAAGAAAAATAAAAGAATAAGAGAAACAATAGGACAGGGACGGTAGGCACGTTGGTGCCCTTATGCACGCCCCCTACAGGCCTCTTAGGAAAGGGGTGAGGTCAATAGTAGACAGTCTAAGGTTAAAGTTTTTGGGGTTTGGGGAAGAAACTACAGAGTCGGGTAGAGTATTCCAGACATTGACCACTCTATTGCTGAAGTCGTATTTCCTGCAATCAAGTTTGGTGCGGTTTACTTTGAGTTAGTATCTATTGTGTGCTCTTGTGTTGTTATGGTTGAAGCTGAAGTATTCATTGACAGGTAGGACATTGCAATGTATGATTTTATATACCATGCTTAAGTCAGACCGAAGACGGCGTAATTCAAGGTTTTCTAGTTCTAGAATTTCAAGTCTGGTGGCATAAGGTATTCTACAACGAGTAGAAGAGTGGAGAACTCTTCTTGTGAAATATTTCTGGACTTTCTCAATTGTGCTAATATCAGATACGTAATGAGGGTTCCAGACTGATGAACTGTATTCGAGTATTGGTCTAACAAATGTTTTGTATGCTCTGGTTAGTAGTGTGATATTACCAGAGAAAAAGCTACGTAGGATTAGGTTAACAACTCTTAATGCCTTTTTGGCTATGTAGTTGCAGTGGGCTCTAGCACTTAGATCATTAGAGGTGAGTATTCCAAGGTCCTTTACAGAGCTTGGGTCATCAACAAGATCTTGACTATTCAGCTTGTATTTTATTTTCTGATTTTTTTTGCCAATATGTAAGACAGAGCATTTATTTGTTGAGATTTGAAGTTCCCATTTGTTTGACCACTCTGATACATAGTCAAGATCTTTTTGTAGGGTAGCAGTATTGTCTGTGGTATTGAACAGCTTTACATCATCAGCGAAGAGAACGCAATTGCTCTTAATATGATCACAGAGGTCGTTTATGTAGAGTATGAAGAGAGTTGGTCCTAGAACACTGCCTTGGGGAACACCACTATTGACAGGTACTGGATTTGATAGTACGCTCCCGATTTTGACCATTTGTTGTCTGTTTGACAGGAATGCTTCTATCCAGTTATTCAGTTGTCCAGAGATACCATAGGATTTTATTTTTATTAATTGTAGTTAGATATCATGTTGTTGTTAGTCGTGAAGTCATGTCTGACCCATCACAACCCCATGGACAACATTCCTCCATGCCTTCCTGTCCTCTACCATCCTCCAGAGTCAGACCTAGAGGAGATCAACCCTGACTGCTCTTTAGAAGGCCAGATCCTGAAGATGAAACTCAAACATTTTGGCCATCTAATGAGAAGGAAGGAAACACTGGAGAAGAGCCTAATGCTGGGAACAATTGAGGGCAAAAGAAGAAGGGGACAGCAGAGAATGAGGTGGCTGGATGGAGTCACTGAAGCAGTTAGATATCTAATTGTAGACCCCTAAAGTCCCCAACATTGTCCTTGGATTTCCTGATTCATTGTACCTCTGTGATGGGTTGCAAATATTTTAATAGCATATTGTCATTCAAGTCTAATCTGGCAGTGAAATCTCTCACTTTGAGTGGATAGGAAGTCAGCTGAACATTATTAAAGTAGATTTGTGCGTTTGACCAGATTTGTATGATTCAAGAGTGAGGGTTGCTATAATCCTCGATATGCAAACCACTAATTGCCAATGAAACAAAAACAGCAAAAGGCAATATAAATTCTGAACATAAGATGACTTGTTCAGACTTTCTATCCAGTACTATACCAGGAGAGCAGTCACAATGATTCCAGTAATCTTGCAAGTCAACTAGAATTCAGGGGTACCAAAAGGAGTATGTCATGCCTTGAACTGGAACCACCTAAAACTATGCCATCCGTAATAGCAGCCAGCATTCTTAAAGAGCACTCTTCACTCTGCAGCAGTCTGTTCATATACTCACAGACACATAGTTTAGTATGGGAGGAAAATGTGCAGACAGAGCTTGACTCATCCCTGGGGCAGTAAAGGAAAAGCAAAGATGTATTCTCTGTTGAAGACCAAGAAATGAATGATTTACATTATGAAGGTTGGCTGAATCATTATGTAAATGAGGTGACTGGATATGATTAGGCTCATGTCAAGTCAAGTCAGGTTGCATTCAGCTGTATCTTCAGCATTTAAGCAGGGCACAAGGCAGACAGGACTGGTTCTAGCAGAGAGAGCTCAGGAAGGCTTCAGTGGAGAGTTTGAGGGCCATCATTTACATACTAGGAATGAGGTAACTTGCAGCTTTTATACATGAGAAGAAAAAATGCTCTGCCTGAAGCCGAATTTAATGCCTGATACATTTTTGAACCATATACAGAAATGAGCTGCATAGACCAAGCTATATCCAAGTTTCTTTGGATTTTACTATTGCCATTGCTCCATAATTAGGATCCCAAAAATCTTTGGGCAAAAATCTGCAAATCATCCAGTGAATTGATAGTCAAGCTTATCTATCTCCCCTCCACCTCACTTTATGTCATAAATAAACAGTGTTTAAAAATGTAAGACAGTCTTTTTTGCTGTCTGGGTTTTAACTCAAGTACTTGGAAGGACTTGGAATCTAAATTCCCAGTTAAACTTTCTTCCATTTCTCGTTCATTCAGCAAATTTTTTTGCCACCAAAGGATTCCTATCAGAATTTGAAAAGCCTCTACAGTAGAGAACTATGTTTTAAACAAAGCATACTGTAGAGAAATATGTTTTAAACAAAGTTTAAAAGCGTAATGTAAGAGAGAAAATAAATCATTTAAAGCATATCCACATATGCTCCCCTTATGCACGAGAAAGATAAACTTTATAAGACATATTGGTAAATACAGAAGCAGATTTGCTAGGCCAGCATGAAACTCATAAACATACAGAGTGATGGGTACCATTCATGTCAACATGTGTCAATACCCTTCATACTCACTGTCACAAAATGTTCAGCAAAGATGGGGATTTTCCCATCAAAAGAATGTTACAACAGCTCACATTCTGTGATCCATAATGGACAATCAGTTTTGACATCCAAGTCCCTTTAGTGGTATGATTATTAGGCTTGTACAACCTCCTAAGTCATAATATAGTTTGGGGTTTGGCTTAATGTATTTTGTGAACTCAGCCATTATTTGACAATCATTTTTATGGTTTTATGTTGCCTGAACGCCAGTTGTAGTTTATTCAGCAAAAGATTGTTAACCCAGTCATGTTTATTCCATTGTGGGAAACCAGACAGTGTATATATTTTTTTCTCTTCTGAAAGGAAGGGATATCTTAATTATTTGATTTGTGATGAGTAACCTTTCCTGAAATTAACTGAGAAAGGGGATTAATTAATTTTAAGCTAATGAAGTTCAGATCTAAATCTGCTCATTGTAAGATTAGATTCATCCCAAAATTTATGTTATGTCATTTGCATATTAATAGATTTGGAAGCTCCCTATCCTAGCTCCAAACATCCTTCCATTGCTATGGAATACTGCTAGTCCCTGACTTACAACAGTTCATTTTGTGACCGTTCAAAATTACAATGGAACTGAAAAAAGGTGATTTATGACCATTTTCACAGTTACAGCCTTTGCAGCATTATATGATCAAAATTCAGCTGCTTGGCAACTGGTACATATTTGTGAAGGCTTCAGTGTCTCAAGGTCATGTGATCCCCTTTTGCGACCTTCTGGCAAGCAAAGTAAATGGGGAAGCCAGATACACTTAATAATCGGGTAACTAACTTACCAACTGCAGTGATTCACTTAGCAACTGAGGCAAGAAAAGTTGTAAAATGGGGCAAAGCACACTTCACAAATGTCTCACTTAACAACAGAAATTTTGAGCTCAATTGTGGTCATAAGTTGAGGACTACCTGTAGTATCCTGAGGTATTCCTCCAGCTGTCCTATTCTCATCTTCCCAGAATGTACACACTAGTGACAGCAAGAGTGATGCAGATAATAATCAGAGTTGGAAGGGACCTTATAGGTCATCTAGTCCAACCACCTGCCCAAGCGAGAGACCCTACACCATTTCTGACAAATGGCAGTCCAATCTCTTCTTGAAAGTCTCAAGTGATGGCGCTCCCATAACTTCCGAGGGCAAGCTGTTCCAATGGTTGGTTGTTCTCACTGTCAGAAAGTTTCTCCTTATTTCCAGGTTAAATCTCTCCTTGTTCCGTTTCCATCCATTATTCCTTGTCTGGCCTTCAGGTGCTTTGGAAAATAGCTTGACCCCTTCCTCCCTGTGGCAGCCCCTCAAATATTGGAAGACTGCTATCATGTCTCCCCTGGTCCTTCTCTTCACCCGACTAGCCAAGCCCAGTTCCTGCAACTGTTCTTCGTATGTTTTAGCCTCCAGTCCCCTAATCATCCTGGTTGCTCTTCTCTGCACTTTTTCTAGAGTCTCAGCATCTTTTTTATAATGTGGTGAACAAAACTGGATGCAGTACTCTAGGTGTGGTCTTACTAAGGCTTTATAGAGTGGTATTAGTACCTCCCTTGATCTTGATTGCAGGGAGGGATGGACGGACTTTCAGCATTCAGTTTCTTAAGTCATTAAGGAATGTTCAGATTTTTATTAGCCCTGAGCAATTACAATTCCAGAGTTCCTGGCACAATTTCTAATGCCTTGTGAAACCCATGACAACAATCTCTGTCACTCTTACTATACAGATAATTCAACAGGCTGCATGATGGGTACCAGTAGCCAACTCAAACTGCAGAGCTTTGCATGCAATCTGCAATGTGCCACATAGTCGAAAATATCATTTTTCGAAACCAGACATTATGAAAGTTGTCTAGTTAATATTCATAATCATAAGGTGAATTTTTCCCAGGCAGGCATTCCATTTAAGCAGGTGAAGAAATGTTGTGCTTTGAAATAAATGAATAGGAAAGAATTATAACCTCTTTGCAGACAACAATGGTACCAACGGCATTCAATAAAATATCAATATTTTAACAGGAAAATAGGCAGGCAGCGAGAAAGTTGAAATGCTCACTTGTTCCCTTTTGCAAATGTTTTAAGTGCAGTCTGTTAGAAGAGCAGAAGAGCAGGGCGCTAGGTAAATGTTTTGAAGTCAGAGAGGATGGTTGCCTTTGAACCGTACCAGTAATATTATGCAGATGGCCTCTGGAAAGGAGAAAGTGGGAGGTGGGGGAAAACCCTCTACTCATAGTTATCCAGTTAATGCCACACAGAAATATTTATAAACACAAAATGATTGTACTGTACTGTCTATGCAATTTCAAGGCAGAGGGCAGACCTGCATGTTAAATTTCAAGCATATGAAACAATCCCCATTTGCTTGGGGTCACTGGGTGGTTTCTAGCAGAGAAGATAGATGTTCACTCCTATGGATAATCAGAGTAAGGCTTACTCTGGAACACAGCACCATCAGCTTGACTTCCATAGGGGAGTTTAAAAACTCTGATGTTCTAGACTAGATATAAAGTGGTTCTATAGCAGGGATGTCAAACTCTATTTCATTGAGGGCCACATAGGGGTTCTGTTTGACCTTGGGGGACCAGGGGTGGGCGTGACCAGGGGCATGGCTAGGGTGGGCGTGGCCAGCTTTATGTCACTCATTGAGGCTCGGTTTTTGGCCATGATGGCCTCCTGCAGCCCTCTGCCAGCGAATGCGGCCTCCACAAACTCTGTTTTTGCTGGCAGAGGGCTGCAGGAGGCGTAAATGGAATCCGGCCCTCCTGAGCTCCATTTCCACTGGCAGAGGCACTGTGGGGCTGTCTGTTGTTTCCAGCGCAGCCCTATGGTCCAGATCTAAGCACCCGGCCCTGTGGGCCTTGAATTTGACACCACTGGTCTATATTATGCCTGTGTTCCATCTTAGAATAAAGTCTGAAATCACAGCAGTTCAGATCAATTTAGAAGAGTTTTAACTCATGCAAGGCAGAGTATCTAGTTCCACTTTACCTGTCCTAATCCAACATTCTTTGTAATCTTGTCCTAGCACCATGCTATATTGGAAATAGCAATGTGCCACATCAAAAAAATAAAAAATAACATTAAGATTATTTTGGTTATATAAAAGAGAAGGTGGCTTGAGGTATAGAGTATATACATTCATCTAATTTGGGAAAATATATCTATGGAAGCCATATGCTGGAGATAATCAGAAAGTGAACAGCTGGTTTTATGTTCTGTTTGGAAGTTTCCCAGACCAGACCACTTTAAAAATGTGACTGCATCTCATAGCCTTTGTATGGCCTTATTTAGAAGAGATTTCCCATGGGTTTTATTTATAGAGCCAGCAAGAGATAATGAAGAGGGCACTTCCATGCACACCTATGCCAATTGAGCCCATTGTAAAAAAAGAAACCATACACCTTTGTATTTCTCTTTACATTTCACTGGAAGAATTAATATCTTCATATTATTAAATATGTGGCTAAGATAAAATATCAAAACCTGGGATGTTTTAAACATTTCAGTGAGCTTTTTATTCTGAAAAGCCTGAGCTAAAAATAAATACTTGAGAAGAAAATCAAAATGACATAACATCCACCTTAATTGTTTCCTCTTCTAGCTCTTCACTCATTGAATAAGGGGAGTGATAGTAGCACTAAAATAAAATTGCTTGCCATTGTTTCTGTTTTCCTCTGCCATTCATGATCTATACGAAGCCATAAAATTAAATGGGCCTGACCTCAACCATAGCAGCAAAGGCAACCTCTCACATGGATTAGCTGCTCTTTATCCATAGAAGATTCTACTTGTGTGGCATTAATGCGTCATGCAAGTTTATGTCTAAACATTCTGGAGCACTGCAGATGACTGCATTAGTGATGCTGGACTGCAACCTCTCAGAACACGTCTGATTGGAAGCATGCAAAAAAAATATATCAATATTTCTTTGTAGACTAAATAAATGAACTGCTACTATATATGAAAATATACTGTACAATATGAACCATTTTCATCTGATAGCTCCTTGTTCTTTATTTGCCAATTCTCTTTTCAGCTTTTAATTTACTATTTTTCTTTTACAACATACAAAAAATATATATTTTATTATACACACACACACACACACACACACACACTTCAGTTGAACATGTTTTGCCATATTCTTCCCTTCTAGAAAAGGAGCCATACAAGTGACTGATGTAGACACTGTGAATGCTCTCATTACACTGTCAAATTTATCTGATAGAATTTGCAAACCTTGAAAGCAAGGTTTGGCATGTTGGATTTCATTACAGTTGCTACTTCACAGTCTACATCTAAAAACATCCAAAAACATTTAAAAAACATCCAAGTTACCCAGGAGCTTGCTCTTCCTGAGACTATCGTCTGTGAACTGTCCTTAAATATCACATTTCGATTCTTATTATGTTACAGAGCCCCTGATTATGACATCAAACATGTAAACAAGTTAAATTCACTTCTAACATGGACAACATCATGCCCACATGCTTTTATTTTTCTTAGTGACTTCAATCTACCTCATATTAACTGGACCCTAAACAAATGTAAAACTGAACCCATACATACAACCTTCTACAATGCTGCAACAAATCCGGGACTGGAACAATTAGTAACCAACAATACTAGACTTAACAACTTCCTCAATCTCATCTTCTGCAATAGCTTGAATTCAATTTATGGAATACAAATTAATGAACCCTTTTCCAACAGTGACCACAACATGATTGACTTTTGTCTCAACATACGTCCTCACAAAAATCATCATAACTATGGGATCCCCAATTATCACTTCATAAAAGGCAACTATGATCTTATAGACAATGATCTCTTATCTCTTGATTGGTAATTTCTATTCACTGGATGCAATACTGTAAAGACCATTACAACATATTTTTACTTGAAGTCAAAAGAGTCATCAAACTATATCTACCAATAACAACTCCAAAAACCAGAACAAATTACCCATAACAATAAGGAAATGTCAATCCAAAAAGAAATCCTTTGGAGAAAAAACAAATCTGGTCACGTTGCCAACTTCAAAAGCCGATACAAAAATTTATGCCACCAGATAAAGACTGAATGCACCAATTATCATATTAAACAAGAGGAAAGCTTTCTACACACACATTCCACCCACACTTTCTACAATTTTGTAAACAACAAACTAAAAGACTCAAGGTCCATCCCACCCCTGAAAGGACCTAATGGTAAAGAATGCAACGATGACACCATTAAAGCCAACCTCTTTAACACATTCTTTGGCTCAGTATTTGTAAACAGCAATGGATTATGCCCAGTATTTCCTAATCGAATCACAAACAACTACAATGATCTAATACATATCGATTTTACAGAAGTCAATGTTGAAAAGCACTATGCAACTATCCTGTTGAAAAGCAGGGTTTTTTTGACCTAAGAAATAAACCTTCAGAGCAGTACTATATAACTTGAGATATGTAAATAATACCTATTGCTTAGGAATCATTTTAGCAAAAAGAAGATTCATAAACATTTGATTGCATAATAACTCCAGAACAGACAATCCAATCTTGGTTGGTTGAGAAGAACATGACATATGCTTTAGCACTTGATAATCTGATCTTGAGAATCTCCATTTTTCCCAGATGTAGGAAGTCCCACATCTATAACAGAATACAGAATGCATTCAGCTGCAAAAATATCTTCAGGTAGGCAGGATAATTTCACATACATATTCATATGAGAAAGTTAACAAAATGTATTATGATATGACAATATTTATTACATCGTGTTGTTTTACTGAACCTAATGTTTTCTACAGACCTGGAAACAAATGTTCTGACTGCAGTATATGATGAGAAAATACTTTGTTCCTGGTCAATACACATAAAATTGAATGACAAGGATTGAATAATCTGTATTTCCTACTTTGATTAGATGAAGAGCTAGTTATATTAGCTCCACAAAGGTTCATGCAATTTTTCATATCAAACTCCTGGAAGAACAGGTCACTAAGAATGCTGGATAGCAAGCAGTTCAAACCCCAACAGAGCCTTCTGGTATTGAAAGAACACAGGGCACTCAGAAGCTCTTAGAAACTGGACTTATCCAGTAGATTGGGTTGGTGAAAAACATTACTGTGGCAGAGACACATACATTTTGTATTATGATTCCTATTATTAGTCATTATAGTGCTGTGAAAGTTTCTGGTATGACATGCTACAATGAAACAACATTTTGATACTCTACTCTATAACTAAACCCTTTTCCTTCTGCAGCTATGCAGCCTGCCACCAATCGCCAATTGTCAAAAGTGTTTGCATGAAAAATACAAAAGCCACTAATTGAATAAGAAGGCCGGGAATCAGAATACAGTAACAACAATTACAATCAACTGAAATAGCCTGTGTTTCCTCTCTGCCTCCACCTGAGAAAGATGTCTTAAGGCATTTTCAATGAGGAAATATAAATCTTGCTTCAATTTACATTGCAGTGCAGAGATCAAGTTCAGACTGGCCAGACTCTCTGTTTGTGCAATGTAAACAATAAATCAGAGACCAAATAAAATAGTAAAGGATTGGGAGGATTTTAAAGCTGATTTTAGTTCCGTATAAGAGAACATGTTAGTAATGATTCTTAGCAATCACATAGATAGGTCTTCTCAAGATGATTTGTCCCCAAACTGTTCCTTCGGATCTTCCAGTGGTGTACCCAAGTTCTTCAATCTTACTGCTGGTCATTCTGTGTTCTTCCACCTTTCCTAGCAGGAAAGTTAGATCTATGATGACAAACTGAGCCTCAGGTGGTACCTCTAGATTAATTTGTTCTATAATTCATTTAATTTTTTTTTTTTTGGATATTCATACCATTCTCAAGCATTTTGCCTCAAGGTTTAGGGCTAGATAAAACTCTAAGATGAAGTGAGAGTTCTGTAAGTGATCTCACAGCGTTTTCCCATACAGAATGCCTCACTCCCCCTGCACGAAGGACATTCAAGAACATCGATCCAGGTTGCGTGTTTGCAGTTAAGTCAAAGGCCAGGCTCATGAACTGTATGAAGCCGTATGTTTTTTTCACCACAGTTTCACCATGGTTTATTGAACCATAAGTGCAATTTGCTAGTTAGCCATAAATTATAATTTTCAGACTATAATGGCTATATTGAAACAAACACTCAAGCCAAAAGTAAGACAATCACATTTTATGATTTTGATGATTAGACAGGATAGATATAGAAACAAGAGGCATGATATGGCTTGAGAGAGATAAATTAAAATATAATTGTACTTATAATTGCTGTGAAGAATCAGAAGCCACTTCTTTATGGCTTCTTTATGTATTTTTTTTATATCTTCTTTTTTTGCTCCATTTTAGTTTGTACCACTTCTTACTATTGTTGTTAAAATCTCTCTCCTCTCTCTCTCTCTCTCTCTCTCTCTCTCTCTCTCTCTCTCTGTGTGTGTGTGTGTGTGTGTGTGTGTTTGTATGAACCAGACTCTACCACTAGATGGGATGATAATCTCAAACTCTTGGTTTACTATCAGACGTTCTCAGAGAGTGAGTGAGCCATTCAGGTCATTGGCAAGAATAATCTGGCTTCCCCTGGCAACCAAATGGGCAGGGATGAAGAGAGAAATTCAATTCTGCAACACCCAAGCCCCCAGGAGAAAAAGGATCCTGATGGTTTTTGAATTCAATTTAATTTCAGTAATGTGTGACCAAGCCACTAATAGGCCTATATGAAATTCTCCACACCCCTCCAAAAATTGTCTCCTTCCACAACTGTCATTCATTGGCACTTTTCTTAAATGTCACCGCAGAGAGACAGCAAATTAGCTAGAAATGGAAATAATTACTCAAAGAAAGGTGAAATATTTATAACCCCAACCGTGTGCATATTTCCTCTTACTGAAAAGTAACTGGAATCTTCTGCATGGGAATGGTATGACAATGACTTTGATCTATGCTGAATATAAATAACTTTGGAAGATCTTAATTTTGTTAGGTGCCTTTGCAACAGAAATGCAACCTGTATAACATTTTGATCTAATCGGGTTTTAAAAAGCAACAATGAATGATATGCCTCCGGAGTATTAAAACATCTTGAGAAAGAGAAAGCTATCTTGTTAAAATGGATATTTCTATCACATTTTAGGGTAAAATAGCTCCTGGATAAAAACGTAAGAAGAATCCAGCTAGGACAAGATGGATAGTTAGTTTCACCCAACAAAAGAATACAGTCGCTGATATGAACTGTAGCAACACAAATTGTTTAGGTGGAAACTACAGTAGACATTGCAACAAGGGCAGCAGATCCAGGCTTTGCCTCCCATATAACGGGTTCCTTGCTACATTCCCAGCAATGCAGTCTCCTCCTGCCTTTGAGACAAAAACAAGGCGTACAGGTGTCTTGGCAGTGGTTCTCTTCGTTGCCTCCTTCATAAGAACATGTCCTCAACAAACATTTTGATGGACTGGGACAAAAAGAGTTGTTAGATCAGGGGTCCCCAACTTTGGCAACTTTAAGACTTGTGGACTTCAACTCCCAGAATTCTCCAGCCAGCTATGCTGGCTGGAGAATTCTGGGAGTTGAAGTCCACAAGTCTTAAAGCTGCCAAGTTTGGAGACCTCTATGTTAGATGAACCAAAGAACGAGTTTCAGAATGAGTCGCAGCAGCTGCCGATTGACCTAATCTACGTTAGGAAGAAAAGCAACCCTGATCTTCCAGTTAGGATCTGGAAAGGAGGACTAGACTAGATTGAAAGTTTGGAGTGGGTGGGGGGGAATGGGGAGAAGAAAACGGCAAACACCTTTCACACTATTGCCAAGAGAAATACAGGGAGAAATACAAACTGGAGGTCTTCACTTGTTTTATACACAATTTTTGCACTACAATTACAGCATCTCTTAAGCGAATGCCAATGCAATAGCTTTCATATCCACTGACTATAATGTGTATTGAATATTTCCATATGACTAATCAGAAATGCACAGTGGGAGAACCGTTTGAAATAGTTACTGAATGAATGGAGAATGAGAGGTCGTCTTTGCCCATTTCACCAAAAAACTTGCAGATTTGGTGTCAAAGTTCCCTGTCCCCTGTTCCTTCTCAAGACTGGCAATAGAAAAGCCTAAGCATTATCTTATCATGCAGAAATACATTATTATTTCAATTCAGCTGAGAATATGTTTCAAATCTTGCTAGCAAAAAGGGAGAGAGAGACAGAGAGAAAAACAGCTGCAAGAAAAGCAGGATAATTTTCTATGTGGCACATTGTGTTTCATGATTGCCAACCAGTTCGTCAGCAAGATAGGTATATGAAAGGCTGCTAATTACGTGCCTCACAAAATTCCAAATTCATTCATCCAACATTTTTCCCTTTAGCTTTGTTAACATGAACAGAGGGGCCCAATCTCTTCCTTAGCCAGAATTTGACAGATAGCCAGCCAAGGAAGTAAAGTAGACTGTGGTCAATCTTCGGTATGAATGCAAACATTTAGAAGCTTCTTCATAATGTGCTGCCTTCCATTTCCACCCATTACTCTAATGATAAATGATTTGAATGGACTGAAATAGATGGTGAATTATTGATATTCAGAGCCACTGCCATCTTGCCTGCAGGATTGTAACTGGTCTATTGGGTTAAAAACAAAACTCAGGAATTTATTGGGATGACAGAGTTGAAAGTGAAAACAGCTCCTCTATTTGAACAATAAGAGCAAAAACTATGGAAAGTCAATGAAGCACTACTACTAAATCACATTTAACTTTAAATTTAAAGCACAAAACAAAAAAGCATATAGGCTTCCTAAGTACTTATATACAAAACTTCTCTATTTATGGAGGCAGAAGCCATACATTTACTCAACATAAACTGTCTCTACAAGGTCTTCAATATGCAACAAGGGTTTAAAGAGAAAGGCAAGCTTTTAAGCCTACACTAAAATAAATATTAATAGTTTTAAAATAAATACCTAATGATATACAATCAGAGCAGTGACAGGACAGAACTTCCAAGGGACTGTTTAAGCAATGTACCCTTCTCTGCAAATATTTGGATTCTGGCAGCCTGCCGTTTGCCAAGCATTTAACTGATTTACATGCTCTTAAAAACATCTGTAGCCAGCATTAGTATCTACAGTATGTTTCTTATGGAAGGAAAAGGAAAATGGAAAGCTAAATTTATCTGTAGGATAAATTCAGCTTTCTCTTCCTTTTTTCTTCATGAACCACAAAGTGGCTGCTAATGGGACAATCTTCTTGAACTCAATCCCCTCCAGATGAGTATGACTTCAACCTAAAGTATGTATGTCCCTCATACAAACATACATACTACTCCCAGGAAACAGGAAATAATTATTAAGAAATGATAAGCCAAAGACATTAAAGGCATGAGATAAGAAAGAGAAAAGGAAAGAAAGCTGAAATTAATTTGCACTAACACCATTCAAAATACTATGTCTTCCGAGCCTTACATACTTTCTTTGCTTATATTATGTCTTTATACTTCTGGCTGCATGCAACATATGTGAGACCAAGACCAAAACTTTAGTCTATACCTTATCTATCTTATTAAAAAGCATCCTGTGATGTTTGCAACAAAAAACATCTTTGTAATAGGCAGTCCAGTGTTTCTCAACTTTGGCAAATTTAAGATGTGTGAACTTTAACTCCCAGAATTTTCCAACCATATTTCCCCCAACATGCTAGCTAGCGAATTATGGGAATTGAAGACCACACATTTTAAAGTTTCACATTTTAAAGTGTGGAGAAACACTGACCTAGTCAACTGTGATAAGAACTGTCTCCAAGAGACAGGAATTTTAGAAACTTACTTTCAGGTAAAATATGAGTGCTTGAGTAATATTTAAGAGACTATTTGGACAATAACAATAACAAAAAAACTTGGAATGTTAGTAATTCAAAGTGTTACATTTCCCAATTAAGCAAAATGTTTCCCAAGTCCTAATCACTAGCACATGTTTTGGATCTCTGAGTGGTTAGCTCTAAAAGTAAAGATATTACCACTTCTTGCAATAAATGCATTTTTGAAGATATATACCATCTAGTATATCTTTCTCCCAATAATAAAAATTGTGAAAAAAGCAAGGACTTGATAGCTGTTTTGAGATGTGTCTATGGATCACTTCATTATCTTCTTTATTTACACGGCTTTTCTCTCAGTCTGAAGCTGGTGTGCTTTTGTTTACTTTAGAAGATTAGAAAAGGATTAATGAAGCCAATTCTCTTCGCAAAATAGACCTGTTTGCCACACATTGAAAATTACTGATGATTCACTACTGCTTTTTCTCCAGTTCCTCAGCCATAACAAAACCCAAGCAATCCCACTGTCAACCAACTGGAGCTAAACAAGAGTTTGCTTCAACTGGTGTTTAAGGACAGGTTGGAACAGCTGTGCACTGTCAAACACCAGCTGCCCTAAAACACTGTAAGCAATTGAAGAACACATTGGCTATGAGGCAACATTACATTTCTTAACTTGGGCAGGGGAAAGCAGGTATCAAAACAGTGGAAAATGTGCGTCCTGGAGGTGTACTAATTTCAGAAAGGGGAAAAAATCAGTATAAGATTAAGTAATTGTTAGAACATAGAATAACAGAGTTGGAAGGACCTTGCAGGTTTTCCAGTCCAACCCCCTGCCTGAGAAGTCCAATCCACCATTTCAGAGGCTGTCCAGTCTCTTCTCAAAAGCCTCCAGCGATGAGACACCCACAACTTCTGAAGGCAAGGGATTCCACTGATTAATTGCTCTCACTGATAGGAAATTTCTTCTTAGTTCTAGACTGCTTCTCTCCTCGATTAGTTTCCATCCATTGTTTCTTATCTTGCCTTCTGGTGCTTTGGAAAAGAGCCTGACATCCTATTCTAGACTGAACTTTTTGACTGACATAGAATTCTTCTATGCTAACAAGGGGGGGGGGGGAATGAAAGACTAAAAGACCACATTATCAGACTGGGCATGTGTGTAGTTGAATTTCTTAGCATTTAAAACAGGGGTGTCAAACTCAAGGCCCGCAGGCCAGGTCCAGCCTGTGGGGTGCTTAGATCTGGTCCGCAGGGCTGCCCTGGAAACAGTGAAGAACCGGTCTACGGTGCCTCTGCCAGTAAAAATGGAGCTCAGGAGGGCCACGCACGGCCCTCCCGGGCTCTGTTTTTGGCCGTGGTGGCCTCCTACAGCCCTCTGCCAGTGAAAATGGAACTCGGGCCGTGACCCTCAGGCTCCATTTTTGCTGGCAGAGGGCTGCAGGAGGTGGTCATGGCTGAAAACAGAGCCTCAATGAATGACATTGAACTGGCCACACTCCCTGGCCACACCCTCCAGCCTCCCGAGGTCAAACACAACCTGATATGGCCCTCAATGAAATCGAGTTTGACACCCCTGATTTAAAACAATTGAATGGAAAGCTTATAAAAAGGATCACCATAATTGATACTCTGACGAAGGAACTGAATTAACTCAGCACCTATAGAAAAAAAAATCAAAGGGTAGTACTGGACATACAGAGACTTTGCTACTGCAGGATCAGTGATAGCAACTAATTTTACCAGTTTTAAAAGAGGATGAGGCAAATAGTTGGAAGACAAGCCTCTCAGTGTCTCATGGCACCATCAAGATCTGAGTCAACATATACCCACATATCTTAACAACAATGAGACTGTAGGTTTCCCTTGGCTATTTGTGAGGAGAAAACGCTGGTTAACACAACCTCTACTCTTACATGGAATTCTTACGTTCTTAAGGCTGGAACAAAAGTGTAATGAGGAGTGGGGAGAGAGAGAATTCAGGCAGCAAATGTAAAGAAAGTTCACTGTAGGTCTAAATGTTTTCCTGAAATGGTTGGATTTGGAGGAGTTCCACAGTCATAAACCAAGGGCATCTGATCCTTTATTACAATTTCTTCCAAGTATAACAGTTTACTCTGAGCCAGGGCTGTCATGCAAACTATTTTCAATACCAAGCCTCAGCCTCATACCTATATCAATCCTTCTTTGGAAGAAACATTTTTAGTCCCCACTAACACTTTACCAGACATAGCTAATTCAAATTCTGCAGGAAAAAAAATATTTCATATACACATGTGTAGCCAAGTTCACCAACAAGGTAAAGATTGGGACATACCATTTCAGACCACAAATCACATGCTCTACATTAAAAAAAAACAAAAAAACACCTCTCAATATCTGATCCAGAGATCAGAAAAAAGAACGTAGTTTTCTCTTTGTTTACTTGTCTTTGTCAGGATGTGTGTATATGTATATATTTGTTAAAGGATCCTTCTCCCTGAAAATATAGTCAAGTCTTCAGTTGTGTAATTTCCACCTGCTGTTTAAAGTACCGCTATAGCAATAGCCATAGCACTTAGACTTATACACAGCTTCACAGTGCTTTACAGCCCCCTCTAAGCAGTAAAACAGTAGTTTTATCTCATCTGGTTTGGCTAAATCATGCAATCAAACGTATTAACTTTTCCAGTTATATTAGTTTGTACAGCTAGTCAGTCTTCCATAGCTAATGTCAGATCTGCCCCAATCTGATCCCCTAAGAAAGAAAGACTCTCAACGCCATTTTGTTGCAGTGGAAAGTTTCTTTTACTAAAAGATGTTGGCTGCAGTAAAGCCAGGTGAGCTCTGTGTTTCCCATGCTCAAAAGATACAGAAAGGTTTCCCCTCCTCCCAGCCCTTCTCCCATGACCAGCCCATCTTACAGCCAATCAGAACTAGCTGATGTGTTTTGAGAATGCTGAGATGCTTGGGGTAACCCACATTCTTTTCAGGTTGCCTGACCTTGGGTGCTGGTACAAACCAGTTCCAAACTTCTCTAGTTTTTAATCACCTGTTGTTCCCCACTCCCTATTTCCTATTATGTACACAAACAGCTTTATTGCCCTACTATCCTTCTCCGCCCTCCTAGTCTTGGATGGCAGGATGCCTGTGAGGCACCAAGCTGAGCCTAGCAGACCTGACAGCTAAAAACTTTAAATAGATTTATAAATATGATAATTTAGTCATACATATTATCTTTCAATGATCTTCAGGGCAGTTTTAAAAAATCCCGAGAATCAAGCTGTTCAAAAATTCTACCTATGCATGGATGTGCAAAGCCAGTTTGATCTGGTGGCTAAGGCACCAGGCTAGAAAGCGGGAGATCTTGAGTTCAAGTCTCACTTTAGCCATGAAAGCCAGCTGGGTTATCATAGGCCAATCACACTTTCTCAACTCAACCCACCTGACAGGGTTGTTGTTTGGGGGGAAATAGGAGTAGACAGGAGTATTAACTATGTTTGCTGCCTTGAGTTATATGTCAAAATAATAAAGGTGGGATACAAAACAGACGAACAATGGAAAACTCTTAACATTTATACTGGAGTTATTTGATGATAGCTGGGATTTATGGAGGAGCGGTTCTTTTTCACGTAAGGATGCCCAGTTAATATCATTAGAGAGTAAAAGTAAAGTCTCCTTCAAGTTTAGTTCATTGAGTCTTCGTGGACACATTCATCAGTTAGTTTTCTTGACAACTAATAGAGGTAGATTGTCAGTGCTTTTTTAGAGGATTGTTTTTAAACTTCCCAAGTTAGCCTGGATATTCTCTAATACTGTAGTACCATCTGAATAATAATAAAGTCTGTTTCTTTTTGACTGGTGTGTTGAGAGATGGGGAGAGGGTGAGCTCAGATAAGGTTGACTAGATATTGGAACTTCCCTGGGAAGATTTATAGATAATTTTTTTTTACTAATTTTCACAAGATTTGTTCTAGATTTTTTTTGAACACACATTCATCTTTAATGCACACCATGGTCTCTCTCCAAATACTTTCCACCCTGGCTCCATTCTCTGGCATTCCTATCAATTCTACATGGGTGGAGGGAACTTCAACTCTGTACATTCAACTGAATGTATATAGATATTTTTAATGCAGTCCAGAATTCCAACAGTGCAATACTCCTAAT